CAAAGGGTCTCGTCAAAGGGAATAAGTAAAAGTAAACATATTACTGAAGCAATAAGAAACCTGAAGAGACCAAGTAATGTGAAAGAAGTTAGACAAATCCTTGGGTTGATAAGTTACTATCGAAAGTTTATTCCAAACTTAAGTGAAAAGATGCAAGCCATTATTAATCTCACAAGAGCTAATGTACCTTTTAATTGGACTGAAGAATGTGAACGAGATTTTCAATTGGTGAAGGAGGAAATGATGTCAGAGAATATACTATGCCATTTTGACCCACACTTACCACTCATTCTAGCAACAGATGCTAGTCAATCTGGAATTTCGGCAATTCTTTCTCATGTGTTTCCGGATGGAAACGAAAGACCTGTTGCATTTGCTTCCAAAACACTATCACAAACACAAAAACAGTACAGTGTCATACAAAAAGAAGCCCTGGCAATTTATTTTGGAGTTAAACACTTTTACCAATACCTTTATGGACGTCATTTCACCCTAGTTACAGACCACAAACCACTGGTATCAATATTTGGACCGAAAAATGGAATACCACTTATGGCCGCAACAAGACTACAACATTATGCTATATTCCTTCAGGCATTTTCATTTGACATAAAGTATAAATCAACCAAAGACAATGTTAATGCTGATGCACTTTCAAGACTACCTAAAAATGTTGAAGAAGCTGCTGTTATTGACTCAGCCGATGTTCATGAAATAGAACAAATCTATACTTTACCTGTCACAGCTGAAGAAATAGCAAACAATACACAATCTGATCCAGATCTTAGAGATATTTATCAATCACTAATCAGAGGGGAGCCAATCCATCACCCGATGTCTTCTAACGAACAAGAATGGTCAATTCAGCTTGGATGCTTATTAAAAGGGAATCGTGTGGTGATTCCCAAACAACTTCGTGCAAGAATTTTGAAAGAACTTCATGAGGCTCATGTGGGTATAGTTCGCATGAAGGGACTAGCTCGTTGGTATGTTTGGTGGCCTAAAATTGATGCAGACATTGAGAATATGACCTTAAATTGTTTGGGATGTCAACGAGTACAGCATGAATCACCCAAAGCACCAGTTCACCATTGGGAATATCCTTCAAGGCCTATGCAAGGAATTCATGTTGATTTTGCTGGACCATTTTATGGCCATTATTTTCTCCTAATTGTGGATGCCTACAGTAAATGGCCAGAAATTGTAACACTTACAACTATAAATTCACATAAAACAATTGAGGCTTTGCGTAAATTCTTCGGCTCCTTTGGAATCCCTGACATATTAGTGTCTGACAACGGAAGGCAATTTGTTTCATTAGAGTTTGAAAAATTTCTTAAATCAAACGGAATTAGACACAAGAGATCAGCACCTTACCATCCTGCTACTAATGGTCAAGTAGAACACTATGTGCAAGACTTGAAAGATACCATCAGAGCAATGCACTTTGAGGAAGGCTCTATCGAAATAAAATTACAGAGATATTTAATGGCCTATCGAAGAGCTCCACATAGTACTACAGGACAATCTCCTTCACATCTCTTCATTGGACATCAAATCCGATCAAGACTAGACTTATTGTATCCTGATTTGTCACAAAAAATGAACCGAAAATTTGACCCAGACTGTGACAGGCAAAAGTCCTTTAAAGCTCAAGACCGTGACAGGCAAAAGTCCTTTAAAGCCCAAGACCCTGTCGCCTAACGCCTCTATGGAACCTGCAACAAATGGGGGTTCGGAAAGATCAACAAAAAAGAAGGACCAAGAAATTATGAAATAACCACAAGCAGTGGCCCAATCAGACGACATCAAGACCAAATTAGACGCTCAGGGCGGGACTTGTGTGAGTTTTCATTAAGGAATGAGCAAAATCGAGTATTCATACCAACAAATTTTGGAGAAGTCAGAGAGGAACCCACCGAAGACCATGTAACAAATTATCACAACATTGATCCAGAGACCAATGATCCCAACATACCAGATGATCCAGAGACCAGTAACAACATATCAGATGTTCCAGTGGCACCAGCTTCCGCTATGACAGTAAGACGATCAAAACGGACACATAAACCCGTCGATAGACTTAACTTATGAAACTCACTAAGAAGGGGAGGTGTTACATCCTAAATGTCTACCTTTACTTATTGCATATTTATTCTATAACTATTATCAGCTGGTTATAATGTTTACTTGTTCACTTTGTTTTTAATTTGTGTTGAATAAAGTTGGTTAAAATTGTACTTTGACAAATACATTTATTATTTTGTTCTAATTACATACAGAACACAATGGAAGGAAGTATCGTTGACTAGGTCTATTACACTTCTCAATTCACTATTACTCTCTCTACTGTAGGCAACTTATAATCAGTGTGCGAATCGGCCGTAAATCTCACTTCAACGCTTTTTACATCGTCACAATTGCTGTTTTATTGTAAAATTATCCGATTAAAAATGCATATGATAGGTCTATCTATGATGGGATGAAACATATTCGGTCACGCAACATTTGTTTACAAGATGATTTTTCACATTAAAACTGCAAGAAAAAATTTTGTCTTTATACATGTAAACTAGCTGTTGTGAATTGAATTGTACTGACTACTCGAACACCTCGTGTATATTAAAACGTGACAGGGTTTTTTAATTTCATTATTCTGAATCAACCACTTGACGGATTTTCATGATTTTTGTGTTGAAAGAAAGATAATTTTGAGAACTAGGGAATGTCGAAGCCATAATTTTAGTTTAGGGTCTCAGTTTTTTAGAAATTTAGTTTTAATTTTTGAAAAGTCTAGCAGCCGATGCTAACATTCTAAACTAGCTTTTGGTATGATATAATTTGCTTCACATAGGGCTAACAGCTGTAAACATTTAGCGTTTGTGACACAAATTCAGCATTTGGATAAAAATTAAAAGACATACTTAGGGTTGACTTATTTATGTAATGCTAATCATTGATACGTTCAATTCTTCGGTAAGAGGATGACAGATTAATTAAATATACATAGTAAAATACTAGGATGTTCAAATTATTTCTTAAAGTAATCTTTGTAATCTTCGGTTTGTTTTAGTGCAATATAATTTGTTTTAACTAACAGCTGGGTAATAAAAAAATACTCTATAGAACTATGAGGTTATTTTATTTACTCTGATTTTGTCATTGATTATAGGAAATAAGTAAGATTAGTAGTGATAATTAGACCACCGAGATAATAACAAGTAGAGGCTCTGTACACGAGCCTTAAAAAAAGGATATCAAAATTATTTTACTGCTCAACTTTTTGAGGAAAGAGTAGGAAAATAACTAACAAAAGAACAGAACATTAGAAAATCTAGTAAGCTACTGCTATAGTCATAGGCTACTGCTACGCAGTTTCAGGACAGAAGAATGTCGAGAAAAACATTAGATAAAGCATATAAAAGTATAAAATAATAGTAGCCTACTTATAGCATAACAACAGTCGTAAAATACACCGATAAAGATAACAATGACATAAAAACATCGCTTATTCTCTCTCTTTGTTCTTCTATTCTTTCTTAAGTTTCTCTTCATCCACCCATTTAACAAGTTGCCATGGTTACTAAACACCCAATCACAAAATGTTGTGACATAGCAAGCGCACAGCAGACAGATGTGTCATTGTGGGGGATGCGGAATACTATCCCCCGGAAAACTACCCCCCCAGGTGAAACGTGACGTCACAAAATCTGCTAACTAACCAATATGGAAGCCGTGTCCGCGACTGGAATACTACCCCCCTAGACAAATCATGCTATGTAATTTTAATTTTAATTCGAGTAATTCCGTTGGACAATAGAACATGCGTATGGTGAATATAAAACAGATTTTTGAAATGTTACAGCAAGTTTGGTTGGTTAGGTTAGGTTAGATTAGAACTGTTTGACAACTAAATTTGAGTGTCCGTGACTGGAAAACTACCCCCCCGGTCTCTGACGTCAATATGACGTAGGAACCTGCTTGGGGGGGTAGTTTTCCGGGGGGCAGTCTTCCGGCGACCCTCATTGTGTAGGCCTAAGGAGCAGACGATTGTCAGTGCAAACGGATAGCTTGACCTTGAAGCATTGATCGGTATTCCTTTGTTTTGCTTCCATTTTATTTTTGTCAAATGAACTGTGATTTTCCAAAAACAATAATGTGGGAACCTACTTAATATTGATAATGGGCAGACATGTATATATCGTTGAAATATACAACGAATTTCAACACATTAGACAAAAAAAAAAACATAATTTATAAAGTTTTCTGGGTATTTTTCTTCGACAATGAGGTAATGTTAGCGAACTGTGATTTTCCAAAAAACAATAATGTGGGAGCCTACTTAATATTAATAATGGGCAGACATGGTTAAATATACAACAAATTTCAACACATTAGACAAAAAAAAAAAAAAAAAAACACAATTTATAAAGTTTTCTGGGTACGGTATTTTTCTTCGACAATGAGGTTATGTTAGCGGAAGCCTATTGTGTTGGCGGCACAGTCGGACCAAGCGAGAAGTCGGACAATCAGAGGTCGGATTAGCGAGGTTCTACTGTAGCAATATTGCTCTACACATGTCAACATTTATTAAGCTAAACTGCTTTTCTACTCATAAGTTCAGTTTTTTTAAGAGTGATAGTATGTTTATCAATACCTGTTTGTGGATAGGTAGGCCTATTTTATAATGAGACTGATGTTTTACAGTTAAATTGCACTAGATATGACATTTTATTAGTCACCAAGTTTTTTTTCTATACCAGTAAATTGTTACCTATTATTGGTTTTTATAGACCAGTGCCACAAACAGTAAATATTTTCTTTTGTCTTTTTTGGTAACTGCAATACTCAAGACCTTTTTTGAATATGAAAAAATCCTGTCCCATCCAGAACTAAAAATTCAATCCCGTCCATCCCTACTTAAAACCATAAAGTAACGGTACTAATTCAAATAAAATAAATAGGTGTTAGCTATGAATATTTACAATTCTGTTACTAACAGTTTTCTGCAGGTGATCAGCATTTATGAGTGCAGGGATGGTGTCTAGTGTTTCCTCCGTAGGGTTGTCATCTCCAATCATTCGTTGGTCACCAGACTCATCTGTCACTGAGATCACTGGGTTGCCTCCACTACGAGTGTTACTTCTCACTCCCTCACCTGTTGTCATTACAAGCTTTACAGTAATATGTATTTACAGATAACATTAATAAAAAATACTACACTCTCTTTTAATGGACTTTCAACACATGGATTTAGTCTGATAAACAGCTGTTTATCACCTACCTAATCTAATGGCATGTCATTACTTACTACCTTTGACAATTAATACAACTAGACAATCCAGCCCCATGTTAAATTTGTAGCCAGATTTTTTATCAAAATTCGTAGTTGATATGAGGCACTGACAGATTGCGCTGATCTAAATTACTAAATCATGTCAAATAGAAATACACATTAATACAACTAAACAATCCAGCCCCATGTTAAATTTGTAGCCAGATTTTTAAACCAAATATCGTAGTTGATGTGAGGCACCGACAGATTGCGCTGATCTAAATTACTATATTATGTCAAATAGAAATACACAAAACTTGTTTACCAAGCGAATCTTAGGGAATGACTTATGGTGAGCTATAGCAACTGTAATGACCCATCAATCTGGTCAGAAACAAAAAAATAAGATATAAAATAGAATTTTAGACACTAGCGCATTCTGTGACTAGCTCATACAACTAAGATTTTTTTTAAAGAAATTGGCGACAGCTGGTCCATATAGATGGGATGTCTACTTTAGTATTCAATGGTCAATGCCACTACACTGTAAGGTGATGAATCGGTGATGAATTTTGCTGGACACTTTTATTAGGTACAGTAGACTCTTTAAAGATTTAGAAAATTGAAACGTAATTAACAAAACTAAATTTATTGAACTCACAAATCAGACTAAACTAAAAAGTAAACAAAAACATAATAATATAAACACTAAACGGTCATCTGACAGATGTTATAAATGAAACATATGGACTTATTTCTTGATACATAACACTCCTTCCCCCGTCAGGTAGTCCTTGAGATATGCCGGTGGTCGACGGATCCGAACAGGTCGAGGACTCATGCTCATTGAAGTGTTTTGGGAGTTTGATCTAAAGACACGTGTCCGAACAGGTTGTGGACTCGTGCTCATGCTAGTGGAGTCTTGAATTAAACCAGAAACGTTGGGACCAGCTAAACCAGAAACGTTGAAACCAGCATCTTCTTGATGAGGGGATAATTGATCCTTCTATACCATTAAAGGAATTGCGAGATTGTTGCATCACTGATGGTCGCATTGGTTGTAGAGCAGCTTATTGCAGTTACTAGTTCTTTGCGTTTAAACCATAGAAACACCCCCAAAGCAGCAAACCTGCAGACTAAACGAATTTCCAATTGACTGATTAGATTTACACTAAAATGTCACCTTACAAATATCACATATTTATTACCTATTCAAATATAATTAGTTTAACTAGGGATGGACGAGATTGGATTTTTAGTTCGAGACGAGACGAGACGAGATTTTTTATTTCTCATAAAATTTCGAGACGAGATCGAGACGGGATTTCCCTTCTCATACACAACGGGAAATACACGTTCAAAATTTTTATCTGATTTTGTAACATTGTTAGATGACTGTTTAAATACAAAAATAATGATAATAGGCAAGAATATTTACAATATTTTATTAAAAAACATCAGCATAACATTTTTTTATTAATCACGCCTTACTTATTAAAAATGCCTACGATTAGAAAACATAGTGATATCAGTTAGGATAGAGTTCAACTTATCTTAAAATAAAATAAATAATAAAATAAAAGCAATATTAATTTTTATAAAATAGTTACTTGTTTTGACTTTTTATAGTAATAAAACATTCCTCACACTGCTTACACTTAACAAAACTTCTCAAATGTTATTAAAGTAATATTATTTAAATAATTAAAGTAATATTTACATTTAAAGAATTAATTAAATAAGAACGCCTTTGCAAAGGAAACGCAACTACAACACGCTCCTGTATTGCGGGTATTGCATTGACTTTCTGCAGGCGTTTTTAAATTTAAATTTTTTTATTTTTTTATTCTCGTCTCGATAAAAATCTCGGCCAAAAAGAAATCTCGTCTCGTGTAACGAGATTTAAAATTTCCCGAAAATTTCCCGAAATTTCGAGACTTGACCATCCCTAAGTTTAACGATAGCTTAGGTTTGCTGCAATAGGGAGGGTAAAAAAGTTTTTTTCTATTGTAAAATTTAAATACTGCAGTTAAGTAAGAAATGTAGGTGTATGCGTTTTATAAATTTAATCAATGCTCATAAACAAGATAACTACAACAGTTTAATTGTTCTCCATAAGAATAACATGGGAATTCTTAGTTAACATTTTTTCCTACAGTTACCTAACAATGTTCTCTCACTGATTTGAGAAAGCAAAGTGGCCAATTCTCTCATCAGTGAGACAATGTTTAATTACTTTGTCTCACTCCAGATTTGCAACGTGAAGGCACGAAATAGTGAGCGCGTAACATGCAGACAAGGTCGTATGCGCGTGAAATACGTTGGCAGCACTGGCTGTATATCAGCTGGTAACTGTTGTATCATTAAATGTCATATTAAAAGTTCACTTCTGTGTTAAAATATGTCATGTATCTTTACCAATGTATTTGTTTTATGGTAACTGTAGGAAAATATAATGTACAACTCGAGTGCAAAGTGCAATTGCCTCATTCGGGAAACCAATCCTCACTCGCCTGCCTGAGTATTTCTCTCGAGTTAGTCAATTGCTCCCTTTGCTCACTAGTTGCAAAGATAACTATTTCTCCGTAACCATTAGATGCATAATAACACTTCAATATACTAAATTATTTTGGGTTTTAAGCTCTACAAAATGGTTTGGAAACAAATTGCTAAATCATATGTTTTTTGGGTCAAAATGGGAAAAACCAATTTCTACCCCATACACCAATTTCTACATGCACAATATCACATATTTCTTATTAAAACATAAACATAACTGAAAACAATCCTACTTTGACAGTTGTCAATGTTTATTACAGCTTTTTGTTGCTGTACACATGACCAATCTACCAGCATTTGTAATGGCCATATTTATAGCAGTAATGGCAGCTGGATCTATTTTTACGAAGGTTCGAATATAGCATAAATCCGTGTACGTAATAATAATAATAAATATACAATATTAGTAAATAACTAGCTGACCCGGCGAACTTCGTATCGCCTAAGTTATAGGTTTCCCCTAAGACAGACCGATGGAAAGAAAGTACCGTTACGTTTAATTTTCAAGATGATCTCGTTCGCATCGCTCAATCACGTCCTGGTTGAAGTTCGTTCGCTACGCTCACTCACCTTTGGGTTGGAGCTCGTTCGCTACGCTCACTCACCTTTAGGTTGGAGCTCGTTCGCTGCGCTCACTTGCCTTCAGGTTAGCTCGTTCGCTACGCTAACTCGCCTCCAGGTTGAAGTTCGTTCGCTACGCTCACTCACCTTTGGGTTGGAGCTCGTTCGCTACGCTCACTCACCTTTAGGTTGGAGCTCGTTCGCTGCGCTCACTTGAATTCAGGTTAGCTCGTTCGCTACGCTAACTCGCCTCCAGGTTGAAGTTCGTTCGCTACGCTCACTCACCTTTTGGTTGCAAATTAGCTGTTGTCATAAATGTAAAAGAAATAATAGTGCTGCACCCTGTTGGTAATCCTTGTAACTTTAATGCTATTGAACATCATAGAACAGAACAACAGAACCAACTTGTTTAATTGAAACAGAGATTCATTAATTCCATTTCTCATAAGGTTAACATGGGAAACTCCAGAGCCACTGGGGCGGAGCCCTTTTAAGAATTTCGAAACGGGAAATAGTTTACGTCCGATTCGCATACCTACAGAATTTACACACCAAATTTCATAACGATCGGTGAAGTCGTTCCGGAGGAGTTTGCAGACAAACACTGTGACACGAGAATTTTATATATTAGATATAAATAAATAAAATAATAATGCATATAATAAATACATTAATTTATATAAAATTAATATAATATATAAAAACGACAACGCGTTTGCCTAGAGAATATTGTGAAGGGATCGATCACCGCGCAGGGCCTATGCGAGGCGAACCATGCGGCGGCGCCGGTGAGTCGGACGGTAGGGAGATCAAAGAGGACCGCGATCTGGCTGGAGTGTCGTCAGCGGAGCGGGAATGCACGCGTGCGCGCGCAGCACTTACAACACGAGTTTCCAGCCATTGCTGCTAGGAACGACACCGCATAGAGGTACTGAACTAGTTCTGCCAATCTCCGCTAGGATATTTTGCTGGCTACGCTTTTTAGTACTAGATGCGTTGTCTTTTAAGGATTCATAGTCAATGGTTTAACGTTGCCTTATAATCACCGCAAATTCGTATTTTACCATTGCTTTTTACGGAAACAACTATTGGTGTGGCCCAATCCGATACCTGAACAGGTTCTAACACTACCTGATTAACTAACTTATCCAGTTCTTCTTCTACTGGGGCCTGCAATGCATAAGGTAAAGGGCGCTCTTAAGTGAATTGGGTTATAATTCTGGTCAATTTTCAGTTCGATTGGAGGTCCTTTATAACACCCTAAAGAATTTGAAAATACATCAGAAAATTCACTTTTCAGATGTTGAACATCCAGCTGGGCTTTACTTAGAACATCAGATTCATGGCAGTTGAGTGAAAGTACTCCGTTTACTTCAATATTAAGAAGACTTTTAAGCCAATTACGCCCCAATAAACTATTTCTATTACCTTCAGTTATGACTAACGGAAGAAATCCATTGAACTTACCATACTTCACATAAACATTAGTCTGGCCTAAAACATTTACAGGTTTACCACTGTAATCCTTGAGTTTCTAGGGAGAAGGTTGCAGTTTACAGTTTTTATGAGAAATTTTAATCCATAGTTCTCCTCCCATGATAGAAATACCTGCACCAGTATCAACTTCCATTAGAACTTTGTGATTATTAATGTTGACAGTTGTACACAGTTCCGGTACTTTAGAGCAATTAACTTCCTGGACGAACTGAGTTGTTTCGCTACCTGAATGAGGTGGAAACATTTCCTCTTGTTCAAAATTGGAT